ATTTTATTTATTTAAATTATTATTATTATTATTATTTTTACAACTCGACTACATTGTCGTGTATAAAGGATTTGTGAGGAAACTGACCTCCCTGCTTTTGATGAACTTAAAAAGCTGTAGACTCAAAACACACATACTCTAACAGATGAGGACTGAAGTATTGTTTCGAGTTATTAGTGCTGTTGTTTGAAAGTATTTCGTATTCGTAAATGCCTTGTTAAGAATTTAATTTAATTAAAAGTAGTCTAGGCTAAAATTGCAACAAATCTATGTTAGAATAGTGGTGTAGGGAGAAGATGAATTATGTAAACATTACTTAAATATTACTCAAAATAAAGTAATAAAAAACTAGTTAACTAATCATGAAAATTGAGCACCTTTATCTGAGTTTTGTAAGTAGATGCAAAGGTATTTTGAGTAAAATTTACTATCAAAGACTTAGTACATTTTGCATTGAAAAGAAATTTCACTTAGGTCCTTCGGACCTCCCTCTCCCAGGCCGCAGTCCCAGGCTAGACCCCTTTCCACTGAGGTCTCCACCCAGGCTCCCCTGGAGACAACTCAGCCTTCTGCTTCCCAGTGTCTTCTTTTCAAAAACACTGATCACAGAAGCACTACTCGCCTACTAACTCACTTGGTTTCAGCTTGTAGTGGCCTGACTGTACATTGAGCCGAGCGCGGCGGCCATCATCATGGTCTTACTGCCCTCTGCGACCCGACCGGCCGGTGACCCAGTCGATAGTGATCCCCAGTCCATGGAACAGGACCCCGTAGTGGTTATTAGCCACCCGGTTGGGAACCGACGGTCTGATCCCTACCCCACTTCGCTATGGGCTATAGGAACTTTGACCGTTTTCACCAGCCTTGCCTGTTCACAGAGGTCGTCCCTTGCTCCCCTCTGCTAGGTGTGAGCTGTCACCCACGTACCACGCCTGGCCTACACACCTACATGCGACCAGTGCGGCGACAAGACGGTACCACGGCAGTATGTTCATTCATACTTCATCAGACACGGGGGCCTTCAGTCCTCTCCCCAGCACTATAAACAATCTTTAATGTGCCCTTGGAACTTTGCAGTTCCGCCGCCACCTGTTACTGGCTAGGTTCGGGGTGCCTAATCCCCTTCCCTAGCCAATAATGTTTACTTGATTGTTGTTGTTGCTGTTTTTTTTTTTTAATTCTTGCTGACACGTAAACTTTACTTGACATTTTTCTGAGTAAAAATTATTCAGAATGTCTGTGTGGAAATTGTTCACTTGGCTGTTTTCAGGTAAATGGCACTCCACATGTTTTCAGTGTACAACCTAATGTGCATAGTGAACTCTTTTTGGAAGATTTCCTCAGTGGAGTTCTTTCCAGGTTCTGATAGGGTTTCATTTCCAGGGTTTTGATCATTGTCAGTCAGTGAGGTTCCTAAGTCAGTCCGAACCTCACTCAGTGTTCACTCTGTAGGGTCTTGAGTCACTGTACAGTGTGTCTTTTGGATCCAGTTGCTCATCCCATCTTCTCTCAACCACACCTTTACTTAAAAACACAACAAAAAAAAAAAAGACATTCTCAATCCACTAAAAACCTCTTTACCTTCATAACTACTTTCTCTGCACTTCCTCTTTGCATCCTTTCTGCATCTTTGTGTTTATGGGATTAGATTTGTGTCAAAATTTTTAACCAAAACTTATCAAAAGTCAAACAAATCTAATGGATTTAAGAGAGAATAAAATTAACTCAAGCAAAAAATTATAGCCTTCAAAATAAAAATTGTCACTTGAAAACAAATAACTCTGTCTTTTATTTTGATTGAG